TGGGAGGGACACAAAGGATGGGGACACAGAAGGACACAAAGGACAGGAGGGACATGGGGTACAGAAGGGACAAAGAGGGACAGGGAGAGATGGGAGGGACATAGGGACAGGAGGGACATGGAGGGACACAGAAGGACAGGAGATACAGGAGGGACACAGAGGGACACAAGGGACATGGAGGGATGGGAGGGACACAAAGGATGGGGACACAGAAGGACATAGGGCACAGGAGGGACACAGAAGGACAGGAGATACAGGAGGGACATGGAGGGACACAAGGGACATGGAGGGACAAGGAGGATGGGGACATGGAGGGACGCAGGGCAGAAGAGGGACAGGAGGGACATAGAGGGAACAGGAGGTACAGGAGGGACATGGAGGGACACAGAGGGATGGGAAGGACACAGAGGGACACGAAGGGATGGGGACATGGAATGACAGGAGGGACCTGGAGGGACACAGAGGGACACGGAGGAATAGAAGGGACATGGGGTACAGAAGGGACAAAGAGGAACAGGGAGGGATGGGAGGGACACAGGGACAGGAGGTACAGGAGGGACACAGAGGGACAGGAGGGACATACAGGGAACAGGAGGAACAGGGAGGGATGGGAGAGACACAGAAAGACAGGAGGGACAGGAGGGACATGGAGGGACACAGAAGGATGGGGACATGGAGGGCCATGGGGTACAGAAGGTACACAGGGACAGGAGGGACACAGAGAACAAGGGGTACAGAGCACAAGAGGGATACAGAGAGATGGGAGGGACATGGAAGGATGGGAAGGACACAGAGGGACATGGGGGACACGGAGGGATGGGAGGGACACCAACACAGAGGAGGGGGACATGGAGGGACATGGAGGATGGGAGGGACACAGAAGGACAAGAAGCACAGGAGGAACATAGAGGGACGGGTAGGACACTGAGGGACATGGAGGATGGAAGGGACACAAGACACAAGGAATGGGAGAGACATGGAGGGAAGGGAAGGACACAGAGAACAGGAGTGAAATGGAAGGACAAGGAGGGGCAGGAGGGATGCACAGGGACAGAGGGGATACAGAGGCATATGGAGGACAGGGAGGACATGGAGGGACACAGGGATGGGAGTGACACAGAACAGGGACATGGAAGGACAAGGAGGGACATGGAAGGACATGGAGGATGGCAGGGACAGGAGAGACACAGGGGACAGAAGGGACATGGAGGGACAGGGAGGATGGGGACAAGGAAGGACATGGAGGGGCAGGAGGACACGAGACACAGAGATCAGGAGGGACACAGGAGGGCCACAGGGGGGCTGTCCAGCCCCGCTGGTGTCACCTGAGATGCGGGCTCCCCCGAAGGGCTGCTGGGCCACCACGGCCCCCGTGGATTTGTCGTTGATGTAGACGTTGCCGGCGGCGTGGCGCAGCAG